GTAGTACTGGTCTGGTAGCTTACTTTCCATTGTGTGTCTCAAGGGGACCAAGTAATGCTTCTGCTGCTCTGGCATCCTCCCCTCTGCAGTATAGGAAGACTGTAGCATCTCCCCCCATTTTAAGACATTTTTCCTTCAAACAGATCATAGTATATTTACAGTTGACCCTGAAATGAGGGAGGTTAGGAGTGCCGCCTCCCCCACCCCATTCCATTCAGTCAAATCCACATGTACTTGACTTTCCCAAAACGAATAGCGTACTGTTGACCAGACGCCTTACCTATATAACATAGTTGATTAATATGTATTTTGTACGTGAATTACATAATGTATGCTTACAGTAAAGTAACCTAGAGAAAAAGTGTTAAAATCATAAGGAAGAGAGAATACATTTAGAATACTCGGCTGTAGAAAATCCATATATAAGTGGACCTGTGCAGTTCAAATTCATGTTCAAGGGTCAGCTGTATTTTTCAGTTTGGATTAAAATCCATCTCTTGCCTTCTTGAGGTTATGAGCTAGTATTTCAGCTTAGGTATTTATCTCCTCTCCTTATACATTACACTTGCAGGCAGTCGGTCTGGTTTCTTCTATATATATATATAACTATATATATATATACACTAACTATATACATACATATATGTATGTATATTTGTATACATACACAAATTTGTACATACAAATTTCCTATATGTATATAGTTAGTATATATATATATAGTTATATATATATAGTTAGTGCCACAGAGGACAAACCACCCTGTTTCCAAGGTCTGAGCAAACTTGGACTACATACAGGTTGTTAGCCGCCTCTAGCGATGTTAACGACGGAACAATTTAGGGTCGGAGTTTTTTGAGCTTGCCTTCATGCCGTGCTTTTAAAAATGCATCTTAGATGGGCTGTGTGGATAATTTTAAACATTAAAGTGCATGAAACAAGGAAAACACTTGAGAATTTATTGTGTATATTTTCTGTGGGATGGGACTTCGTTCAGGGCTGATTTTCAAGTGTGAGTTCAGACTGATTTTTAGTTGTTTATGAAAGAACCCCAGGTGACTACTTTTAAAGAATTTTATGTTATAATTGTAATGCCTGTACATGGTTCAAAAAAACAACAGTAGAAGTGTTAAGTGGTCTCTCTCTTTTTCCTGTCCCTCTGTTCTTCCTCTCCAGGAGCTACTGTTAACAGTTATTCTTTCTGGAGGGAGGTGGGTGGTGGGGGATATAAGCATATATGTATAGACCTTTTTTTATATATGAAGTACACCATATGTTCTGAATCTTGCTGTTTTCACTCCGTATATTTAGAAACATTTGAGATTTAGGAGACCGCCCTTTTAAGTTTTAACATGTAGTTTTTAAAAATACATTTCAAGTAAACCAAAGCAGAGAAGTCAATGTGTTATTCATTGTTGTATCAGATTTTTAAATTTCCTACTTTGAAAATGCAGTTTGAGAGTCATAGTTGATCTGTTTCTTCTCAGCCCTCCCAAGTAGCTCAGTTGTCAACAGCAACAGATGGAAGAACTTTCAGGAACAACAGCTTTGGGAAGTAGTTTGGCTTAAGTGGCTGTGCCCTAACCTCTCTGTGGCTATTCCGCTCCTAGATACATACCCTAGCGAAACTCTCACACGTGTGTGTCAGGACGTGGATGTGAAAATGTCATAACAGCACTGTTTGTAATAGGAAGAAAAGGGAAACAAAAACAAACTGGAAAGACCCTGCCTGTCCTTAAGCAGTCCACTGGATAGATTCCATGGCCCATTCCTACAGTGGAATTGCACGGAAGTCAGACTGAGCTGCAGCTACACGTGTGAACACGGATGGATCTTGGTGGTTGGAAAAGCAAGTTGCAGAAGAATACATCCGCTGTGGTTCCATTTCTGTGAAGGTCAGAGTCCAGCTGTTAAATCTGTGGTAAATGAAAGAAAAGCAAGGGAATGATAACGTGAAATTCAGTGTTACTCTTGCATCGGAGGGACGGAGGGAGAGGAGACCGTGGAGGGCATGGAACAGCCTTCAGAGGAACTGCTGACGATGCTTTGTTGCTAAAGCTGGATGGGCGGTTTCTTTTTTAAACTGTATGTTCATGTGCTTTTGTATGTATGGTATTTCTTAATAAAATTTAAATTTAAAAAATGGGAAAAGGTCTTGGTGTAGGTAGTAACTAATAAAATAGAAATATAAGCATACCCATATTTTAAAAATTTACCCTCTCATAGTGACTGACAGGTGTAAAAGGTATGGTTTCTTGAGCGCAAAATTTGGGGCCTTAATTGTTCTTTAAAAGCTAGAAGCAGGGCCTAAGTGTAGGTCTTCTTTGTGATCACTTTTTTTTTAAGGTTTTATTTATTTGACAGAGATCACAAGTAGGCAGATAGGCATGGGGTGGGGTTGGCGGGGGGGGGGGAAGCAGGCTCCCTGCTGAACAAAGAGCCTGATGCGGGGCTCGATCCCAGGACCCTGAGATCATGACCCAGGCCAAAGGCAGAGGCTTAACCCACTGAGGCACCCAGGCACCCTGTGAGATCACTTATTTTTATCTTTACATACTTTTAATTTGGGATTTGGGTGTCAGCCAGGGAGCTGCTGCTTTTGTGCTGCTCTGTTTCTTGAAGATTCACGCCCTTCCAGGAAGGGAACTGCTGGGTGAGAAGAGCAGTACTCCTGGCCGGTGGTCAGCACGTCCTACCCCTGTTCAAATTAGATTGTCAGATCAGAGGGGCTGCCATTTTGGCCTTGTTCTGCTCTTAATGAGGGACACCATGAAGCATTAGATATTCACTCTTTAAAAGGGAAGTGATTGGGGGCGCCTGGGTGGCTCAGTGGGTTAAAGCCTCTGCCTTTGGCTCACGTCATGATCTCAGGGTCCTGGGATTGTGCCCCTCGTTGGGCTCTCTTCTCAACAGGGAGCCTGCCTCCCCCTCTCTGTCTGCCCGCCTCTCTGCCTACTTGTGATCTCTGTCAAATAAAATCTTTAAAAAAAGGGGGAAGTGATTGGAAGTAGAAATATACTTGCAAGTGCATAAAAATCACCTCTCTCCGCAGTGGACTTCTTGATCTCCAAGTGTGGCCCCCAGTGGGAGCTTAGGGCTTCCCCCACCCACTTTCTTTGCAGCCCTGAGTGCTGGTGTGCCAGCTGCTGTTCTGATAACATGGGATAGGTCAGTGAGCAAAATAGGAACACCGCCACCTCCTGGTGGAGTCTGTCAGGCCTGTGAGCGGCCCTGGAAGGACTTCCGCTCTGAGGGTAGAAGGGGCCCTGCTGCTGTTACCAGTCCCCTCATTGTAAATGAGTGTTAGACTGTGAATGACTAAGAATTCTAGATCATTCCACCTTTTTGTTTCGACGTACATGTGTTTTGGAACCTTTCAGGACAAGCGTCCTAGTACCTGATTCAGTTCAACCACTTAAAAATCTTAAAATGACATTAAGTTAAAATAAAAGTCAGTGGAATTGCACCTTCCTCAGAAATTAGTTTCCACAGTGTCTGCATGAAGTATAAATGAAAATTACTCTTGAAGCTTCAATTTTTACTCTTCATCTTCAGCCTTAAGACTATTCATGTTACAGGAAATACGTTTTTATGATTTCTTCGAAGGTGCGTACTATGTTTATTTGAACGGATACAGAATTTGCTCAACAGCCTGGTGATATATTGCTGCCCTCATTCAATTACTGTAACTGATCATGAGGCAACACTATAGGTTCTGTTACTGTCATAGTGTAGGGTTTCCTCCCAACATTTTTTTTCAAATTTATTCTACCATATTCACCTAAAAATACCACCTAGAACTCCACTTCCTCACAAGGGTGATTCGGGGCCATTAATAGCCGGTCCTCAGCTCTTGCCCCAAGTTTTCCTTATTCAAAACAAAATTGAGAATACCTTAGGGAATTGGCTCTTGTGGCGCTGGAACGGCACTGCATTGAATTGGTTGTCAGCGGGCTGTCCTGTCTCTCAAAGACCTGTGACGTGGATGCGGAGCTTACATTTCCAGAAGTGCTTCCATCCGAAGAGGCCCAGGGCTACTAAGCAAATTGCAGGTTCAAGTCTCATGTACGCATCACATTTCTCTTTTTAATTTAAAGATTTTATTTATATATTTGAGAGCATGTGCCAGAGGCCGGTGGGGGGGGGGTGGCAGGGAGCAGAGGGAGAAGGACAAGCAGACACAGGCCTCCACCTTGACCCTGAGATGACCTGAGCTGAAACCAAGAGTCAGACGTTCAGTCGACTGAGCCACCCACACACCCTTCACATTTTTGAGTGGGATGATCTGTACATCTGTACCCACACTGTTTAAAACCTTGCTCTTTGGACAGTTGGGCTAGGTAAGTGTTAGTGTAGTGTTTGCGTGTTCCCCCACCCTTCATCAAAGCTGAGGTGCTGAGCATTTGCAGAGGCAGCCTGCGGTGGGCCTATTATGTGCTGGGGGAGACAAGATCCTGCTTGGCCAGAAGGAGCTCCGGTATTTCAGAGCTCAGTTCCATGAATTCAAGTCCAGGAATAATGGCTGTGAAGAGAAGTGACCGTGGACAGGGTTAAGTGGGTAAATGGGGTCCAGCTTCCAGACTGCTTCCAGAGTACCAGCAGATCTTACCTAAGAGTTTGGGTGAGTTGACCCAGAAGAGCTCTCGGTAGTGGGATAGGAGGAGTCTAGCTTTGAGCTAGTTGTTGGTAAGAGTGCCAACTTTGTTGTTGTTTCCATCCGATTAGCAGAGTTGAGTGCTGTGGGCTGTGCCTTGGCTATTCGGCAAGTAGTTTGTTAAAAATGGCCTCAACAGTAACGCAAGTCATGCCATTTTATAGGCAAGTTTCAAAGTGTAAAAAGGAAACGATGTGACAATTTCTCCCTGCCCAGAGAAGTTTGAGACGAGGGAACGATTTTGCAAAGTATGCACATGAAGTTGGCAAACAGGTACATGCATTCCGTCTTGGTTATTTATAAAACATTGATACCGGGGGTTTCATTTCTGGGGTTTTCTAATAGGTCAGTTTGGTGGCATTGTGTTGTAGCAGGCCGCCTCTGTCAGGGATGTTGTGTGTTCGACGAATTCAGAGCTGCTGTGTTTCACCAAGATGAGTTCTACTTCCTGAAAGTCCCGTAGTCTTTGAATGTCTTTGTCCTTAATGTGTAAAAGAAATTATAGGGTGGTTTATAGATAGCATGAGAGATTATTAAGATGAAAAAATCTTAATGGCCAGCATCTTTGGTTCTTGCCTAAATTCAGGGTATTTCTGTATTGGTTTCTCTGTCATGGTAAGCTAAAGTAGCAGTTGAGACTTTTTTTTCTTTTTTTGGTCTCTGTTGTAGGTTCCTAAGGGGACTGACTGTAGTCCCACACCAATACTGGTGAAGAAAAGGGCTTTTTTTTTTTAAGTAATAATTATAACTCTCATTAAGAAATTATCACGCACCAGTGACTGTATATACATTATTTCAAATTCAGAAAAGGGCATTTAAAAAAGTCCAGAAAATAACAATCATCCTGCCATTCCTTTACAAAGATATTAGCCATGACACCAGTGAGAATTGGTAAAGGCGTTTTGAAAGCTTTTAAAATAGTAATACCCAAAGAAATGAAGTTTTTCTTCTGAAATTAGAGAACTGTATTTTGAATCTGGAATATCTATACAAATGCAAAACAGTTTTTTGTTTCTTGAGATAACAGAGGCTGAGCTGTGGCAAGCAAATGAAGGTGGGTGAGTCTTTCCTTTCCCCGGCACCAGGCCACCTGTGAACCAGCCAGGTCTGCAGAGGTGGAAGGGGCCACGTGCATTGACCTGAGTCTTCTCTCTGGGCCTTAGTTGTATTTCAGACCGTGTTAAAGGATTCATGAATTTAGGTGTGCAAGTAAGTAAAAGCACCAGATTGAAAATTACCTAGCTACCATGGCTGTCCTACAGTCCCTAGTTTCCCAGTGGCTTAAATTTGTTTTCATGTTCGAAATGCAAGAGCTAAGTGATGAGCTTCACAGGACATTAATTTTGCCCACTTAGAACCCCGTCTGCATTTAGACCCTTGGCAAACCCTACCTTTCTGAGCAGTGTGTTTGGCAGCTTTCTGACCGCCCTCACTTGCTCCGGCTCAATCCCCAGTTCGCAGCAACTGACTTTCAGGAGATTCTGATAACTCAGCTCTCCTCTGTTCAGTTCAACCTCAATGAAGTCATTTTCTCTGGGACTCTTAATTCTGACTTTAAGCACCAGCTCTAGATCACCTGCAAGTTCATTTGTAAAAGAGAGAGTACCCGATTTAAAGCCTTTCAATCAGCGTCATCCATTCTCACAGCACAGAACTGTGTAACAGGTAGACACGCAGCGGTTTTTACGGGTATAGGAGCTTCAAATTATCTGAGTCTTTTCTTGGGGTGCTTGTACGCTCTGCGATGTAAACCCCATTATACTCACCCAAAAGCTTGCAGTTTGAAGTCAGGCTAGGATTGAAAAAATAAATATTTAAATATTTCACTCTCAAGCAGTACCTGGTAGGTATTGGAACTTATTTGAAAAGCTTCAGGGAACTGTTGAGCCCTGGGGCTCTGTGTCCTCGGGAAACTGTTGTGTAGACGGGAAACTGTTGTGTAGACGTGCAGATGATTCTGTAATTCCTACTGCATCCCTCCCCAGGACTGCAAGGTGACAGGCCCTGAGTGTCAGGATAATTGTACCATCTTTTGTGTGGGGTGGGGGGGGGGGGGGGCAGTGGTGTGGAGTGAGGCTTCACACTGTCCTGAGAAGGAGGGGTATTGACTGAAGGGAGAAGAACCCAAGTGGTGTGTTTGGCTTTGCCACTGGGCCTCGGGCCTGAGTCCTCACCTACGCGGGTGTCCTCAGGTTTGGCATCCCCGGGGTCAGCTGGCATCTGTGGATTGGAGCCTTGTTTACATTCACCTGGGAAAGAATTAGAAAAAGAAAGCGTTGGGGTGCCTGGGTAGCTCAGTCGGTTAAGCGTCTACTTTTGGCTCAGGTCATGATCCCAGGGTCCTGGGATGGATCCCCGCATCAGGCTCCCTGCTCAGTGGGGAGTCTGCTTCTCTCTCCCTCTGCCCCTCCCCACTCATGCTCTCTCAGCGCCCTCTCTTTCTCAAATCTTAAAAAGCGAGAAATGGCAGCATCTCAGTGTTCCTCTCTCTTCCAGATCTGCCAGTTGAACAGGGACAGTGATGCCCCCTCTCCACTTCCTGCTCCCCAGTTCCGCCTCCTCAAGGGAAAAGCCAAGTCACGAAAAGGGCAGTACTTATGTTCAGACTTGAAGTGTCATTTTCCCTCATCACGGTCCAAATCATGAAAAGGAGCCAGGACGCTATTTTTAAGCGGTATGTAATCTGGGGAAGAAATATTTATAATCTGCGTGCTTAACTCAAGTTTCGACTTAAATATTTTGGGCACTGAGGGCTTCGTGTCCCCAATTCTCCAGGAGAGTCCTTTATAAGGAATATTCTCCACCAGAGGGAAGGGAGACGAGAGTGAGTATTAGCATCCTTTCTGGGGGCCAGGCCCTTCCCAGTCTCACAGGCCCTGCTCCCTGAGACCCCTGCTCTGTACCAGGTGCCTTGCTAAGCCCTGGGGATGCGGTTCAAGCCACCACCACAAAAACCCAGAGTGGTCGCTGTCCTAGAGCTGGCAAGCTAGAGGAGAGAGAGATCCTGATCAACGGACCTCAAGAAAATGTGAAGTTAAATCATGGGGCTGGCGAGGGCCAGGCACACAATGGGGGTCAAATTCTGAAGGCAAGGCTGAGTAGGCTTAACCCGATCCAGGGGGAAAAGAGGAAGATGAGGTTCCCAGGGCTAGAAATAGCAAAAGGAACCTATGTGTGGATGGAGCGGAGCTTCTGAGGAAGGAAAGGCAACCATCCAACATGGCTGCTGGGCAGAGAGCATGGAGGGATGGCGTGAGGTGGGTCAGGCAGCCGTCAGATGCTGGGATTAGGGCCGCACAGCCTCTGCCGTCCAATTCGGTAGCCGCCAGTCATGTGAAATGAGTTACACTCATTTCACTAAAATACATAAAATACAATTTCAAAGGCAGGAAAAAAATGTGAAGAATTTATTTTTTTTAATATTGGTTGTATGTTGAAATAATTTTGATATATTGAGCAAAGTAAATATATTAAAATTATTTTCACCTGTCTACTTTTTAAAATGTGGCTGGGACATTTTTATTTTTTATTTATTTGTTTTTTAAAATATTTTATTTGTGGGCGTCTGCGTGGCTCATTGGGTTAGGCCGCTGCCTTCGGCTCATGTCATGATCTCAGGGTCCTGGGATCGAGCCCCGCATCAGGCACTCTGCTCAGCAGGGAGCCTGCTTCCCTCTCTCTCTCTCTCTGCCTGCCTCTCTGTCTACTTGTGATCTCTCTGTCAAATAAGTAAATAAAATCTTTAAAAAATATATATTTTATTTGTCAGAGAGCATACACAAGCAGGGAGAGGAGAAGGCAGAGGGAGAAGCAGTTTCCCCACCGAACATGGATTGAGTCCTGGGGCTCGATCCCAGGACTCTGGTATCATGACGTGAGCTGGAGGCAGATGCCCAACCGACTGAGCCACCTAGGCCTCCTGAGGAAATTTTTAAATATGTGGTTTTAAAAATCCAATATTTTTATTGGAAAGCACTGGCCCAGGTGAAAGGTTTTGGTTTTTATTCTAGAACAACACCAAGCCTTTAGACAGATCTTAGCCCAAGGCTGTCACAATCAGATTTGCATTTTGTGGGGGGGGGGAAGCCTCACTGTTCTCAAAAAAATCCATGGGGTGTTGACATTCCCATTTTCAGACAAGAAAATTGAGGCTGAAAGGTGAAGTAACTTGCTTGAGCTCGCCGCATGAGTAAATGGCAGGACTGGGATGTGACCAGAGCCAGCTCCATCAGTGGAGCCCAGAGCAAAAGGAAGGTGTGCAAAAGGGCTTCCTCAAGCCGCACTCCTAACCCACGGCAGATGGGTGACCCCCCCAGGAATCACAACCTCCCACCTGCACCCATCTGTACCTGGATGGGGGCAGGGAGAGCTTCCTGCCTCTGCCCTGTCTGTCGCCCTCGGAACATCCCCTGCCTTGCCTGCCTCATCTCCAGCTCTTTCTTGAGTCCCAGCCAGGGGCAGAAGGGGATGGTGGAACTCTGGTGCGGAAGGGGCGGTGGGCTGGGAGTGGGGCCACGCACACACGGGGGTCAAGGCTCTCCCCAGCACATGCTCCATCGTCCTGGCTGACTTCACTTACAAAACAGACTCCAAGATAAAATTATTTAAAATGGGGACACCTGGGTGGCTCAGTCAGTTAAGATCTGCCTTTGGCTCAGGTCATGATCCTGGGGTCCTGGGATCGAGCCCCTCATTGGGCTCCCTGCTCAGTGGGGAATCTGCTCCCTCCTTCTGCCGTCCCTCCTGCTCATGTGGGCTCTCTCTCTCAAATAAATAAATTTTTTAAATTTTTTATTAACATATAGTATATTATTAGCCCCAGGGGTACGGGTCTGTGAATTTCCAGGTTTACACTTCACAGCACTCACCATAGCACATATCCTCACCAGTGTCCATAACCCCACCCCCCTCTCCCTACCCCCTCCCCCGGCAACCCTCAGTTTGTTTTGTGAGATTAAGAGTCTCTTGTGGTTTGTCTCCCTCCCGATCCCATCTTGTTTCATTTATTCCTTTCCTACCCCCAACCCCCCCCACGTTGCCTCTCAACTTCCTCATATCAGGGAGATCATGTGATAATTGTCTTTCTCTGACTGACTTCAAATAAACCTTAAATTATTTAAAAGTCAAGCCAGCGACCACAGAGCATTTAATCCGAAGTATGGGACATTTTCTGAATGTGGGGTTCTGCACAGCTGCTGGGATGACAGGCCCAAGAAGCCAGCCTTGCTTCTGGCTCAAGTGCTCTCTGCACACTGCCCGGTCCCTCCCCAGCCCCTCCCAAGGTGGTAGGATCTGCAGTCCCCTCTTCGCCCTGCGCCCTGGGCCACGGAGCAAACCCCCTCCCTGGAGGCCCCTCAGAGTCTCTGGTACCCAAGCTGAAATGATGCTTTCCCCACCCCTCCACCACTCACCCCACAGAGACAGAGCACGGGACCGCCCCTCCCACCCCGCCAGCCTGGCCTGGCACAGAAAATAGCATTTTCTTGGATGAACCTTTTGGATTAAGATCCCATGTGTGTGGACCAGGTCTTGGAGAAGTCAGAAAGCACGCCCTTTGAAGTGAGGCCTATTTGGGTCTGAAGTTTTCCTTTGCCACAGTAGCTGTGACTCGTTAGACAAGCTACTTAAGCTCTCTGAGCTTCAGTTTTCCGATCTGGAAAATGGGATTAATAATCTCTACCTCGAAAGGTATTAAGAAGCAAAGAAGTGAGCACTGGCACTGACTGGCCACTACTGTTAGCACAGGTGCTGATACTTGCTTCCCCCTCAAGGACACTGGGTCTGCTCGCTCTGTCCTGACTTCCTGGGCAGCAGAGCTGGGAAGGGCCACTGCCCCTACCCACGGCAGCATCCCCCCGTACCTTCCTCGGGTACCTACCCAAATCCTTGAGGACCACGTGGAAAACAGGTCTTCCTGACTCACCTGCCGGCTCCTCCTTCCTGTCCTGTTGGGGTTCAGCCATGGGTCAGCTCTGTTGTTCGTCAGATCAGAACTCCCTCTCGAATGGACACAAAGCTCCAACCACGTAGGAAACACCTCTGAAAGCTCCGTGCATCTGTGTGCAGTGAAACAACGATGTGGTCACTGGCCCGGTGAGATGGGGCAGGGGGATGCCTATTTTATAGATGGGCAAATTAAGACTCTTGGGGCTGCCGTGGCATGTGCTGGGAATGATGCAAGGAAAGTTCAAGGCTCCCTCCTCCCTTCTCAAGCTGTGTCCAGCAGGTGACCCTGGTGGCTAAGAGTGCTTACCCAAGGGAACGCGCCCCCAGGAGGCTCAGCCACTGGAAAAGGTTAGCAGCTTCTACATCAAGGATAGGAAAAGCCAAACACTTAGGTTCTTGGATCAAGCAGGCTCTCTGTCCTACCCAGTTCTCTCTCCCTTTTCTCCTAGGCCCTTCCTCAGAGCTGCGAGTGCCAAGAAAACAGGAAGACCCCAGCCCATACCTGGGAGACTCTGCTTTGCCCATGATCTCATATCCCTTGATTTCAAACATAAAAATGGAGACAGTGGGGGCTGGGGGCACTGGAACAGGAGGTTTGGTGAAGAGTGCATGGGGCTGAGCAAAGCCCGGAAAAGGGCTGCTGCTGCCTCCAGGGGGTGCCAAGGTTAGGAACCAGGGGAGGATTCTCACATTTCATTTAACCCTCCAGTGACAGAAGACAGGACAAATGGACAGAGGATCAGAAAGGTGGAGGGGGCCCAGGAGGTCACAGATTCTCAAACTTTAGTGCATTGGAACCACTTGGGAAACGCTAAAAGCCATGGGTGCCTGGGTCCCACATAGTTGCCTTGGGGTGCTGTCTGGGCCCTGGCATTTTTAAAAGGTCCCCAGCTGATTCGAATGTGTGGCCTAAGTTGAGAACCACCACTTTGGGCCAAACTGCTTAAGGGCAGATGAGGAAATGGAACCCAGCCAAGGAAGGGAAATGCTCACCAATGGGTTCCTGAGCCGCCGCAGACCTGGGGCCCCCAGGTCGCCAGCCTGACGCTGCCTCCCTGGTGCCCTTTCTGCCAGGAATGGAGGCAGGTGGTGCTGCCGCGGAGGAGGAAGCCGAAAGGACCTGCCTGGCCTCAGCTCCTGCGAATGGGGAGGAAAATGCACTTTGGCCTGGGTGTGGTCAGCCGTGGAAAGAGCCAACCAGCCCCTCCTCACCTGCATGGGCGGGGCCGGGGATGGACCGAGGGCTCCGTCTATTTCCACTCACCTCTCTGCCCATTCACTGACACATCCCCCATTCACGGATTCATTCATTCACGGAGCCCCTCAACGACACTCAGGTTTTCTTCTCCTTTGGGGGTCTCTCTCTTCTCTTCTTTTTTCCCTTTTAATTTACTTGAATTACTTTATTTTAAAAGATTTTAACTTTTTAAGTTGTCTCTGCATCCAATGTGGAGCTCAAATCTGTAACCGTGAGACTGATACTGACCGTGCCCACCAGTGGGGCAAGCCCCGCCCCTTTTATTTTTTAACCTTTTTTTAAAACCAAAGTATTACATGGCCTAGTTTATTTTTATTTTATTTTATTCTTTAAAGATTTTATTTATTTGACAGAGAAAGACACAGAGCCACCCAGGCGCCCAGAGAGAGAGAATCTTAAGTGCTGGTTGTAGAACCCCACTCAGTGATTGGTCTCACGATCCTGAGATCATGACCTGAGTTGAAATCAAGAATCAGGTGCTTAGGGACGCCTGGGTGGCTCATTCGTTAAGCGGCTGCTTTTGGCTCAGGTCATGATCCTAGGACCCTGGGATCGAGCCCCGCATCGGGCTCCCTGCTCAGTGAGAAGCCTGCTTCTCCCTCTCCCACTCCCCCCTGTTTGTATTCCCTCTCTTGCTGTCTCTCTCTGTCAAATAAATAAATAAAATCTTTAAAAAGAAAAGAAAGAATCAGATGCTTAACCAACTGAGTCATCCAAGTGAGTGGAGATTTTATTAAATAATTTCTACACCCAGTGTGGGGTTTGAACTCCCAACCCGAGATCAAGCGTTGCACACTCCACTGACTGAGCTGGCCAGGCACCCTCTCATTATTTATTTTGGTGTTCAAATGATCCAACTTCATACAGTATGTGCTTCCTGCTGTTTCCCATATCCTGTGACGTATCTCCATTCTTTTATGGGCATTTTCTTTTTTTTTTTTTTTAAAGACTTTATTTGACAGATCACAAGTAGGCAGAGAGGCAGGCAGAGAGAGAGAGCAAGGGAAACAGGCTCCCTGCTGAGCAGAGAGCCTGATGAGCGCCTCCATCCAAGGACCCTAGGATCATGACCTGAGCCAAAAGCAGAGGCTTTAACCCACTGAGCCACCCAGGCGCCCTATGGGCATTTTCTTGATTTTTGGCACATTCAGAAGTTCTGGGCTCAACTTGTTACTTTCCCCATCCCAGCCCTGGCATCTGCCACTTCTTTGAGGAGCCAGGTTCTTTCTAGTTGGGGGAAGAGGCGTTCTCATTCCTATGGGGAGGCCAAGAAGAATGCTTCAGAGCCCTTTGAGTGGTCAGAACTGGAACCGCACATACACGCAGATGAACAGACATCTGTATGTCTCAGACCACAAGTTCATGACTGAGACTTCCAGCTCTCTTCCCCCAACCACAGGGCTTTCCCAGCTTTCTTCAGTTCCATGTGGCAACTCTCTTCAACAGTGGGAGATATGGCTCCTGACCCCTCATAAATATTTACTCCTCTGCTAATCCTATGGTACGCAGAAAATGGTCCCAGCACCACTCATTTGCAACACAGGTTCATTGTGTGTGCGTCTTAAGAGTTCTTCCCAATCCTCATTTATACTTTTTGAGTATGTAAAATTTGAACATGGTTCAGGGCGCCTGGGTGGCTCAGTGGGTTTAGCATCCAACTCTTGGTTTTGGCTCAGGTTGTGATCGCAGGGTCGTGAGGTCGAACCCCATGTTGCGTTCCTCATTTAGTGGGGCGTCTGCTTGGGATTCTCCCTCTCTCTGCCCTTACTTGAGCTCTTCTTCCCTCTCTTTAAAATAAAATAAATAAAAGCTTTAAAAAAAAAAAACCACCATGGACATGGTTCTAAGAGTTAAAATTATGCAGAAATTTATATTCATAGAAGTGTCATCCAACATTCCCACTCCTTCCATTTTGCTCTCATCTATTTCCTGTAGGAAACTAATCTCCTTAGTTTCTGAGCTATCCTTTCTAGGTTTCTTTTTGCAGAATTAACCAGATGGATGTCTATTTTATTACTATTTCTTTTTCTTGCAGAAAAGGTAGCACATATATTCTTTTCTACTTTGCTTTTTTAAATAAATTATTTTATTGGGGCACCTGGGTGGCTCAGTGGGTTAAAGCCTCTGCCTTCGGCTCAGGTCATGATCTCGAGGTCCTGGGATCAAGCCCCACATCGGGAGGGAGCCTGCTTCCCCCTCTCTCTCTGCCTGCCTCTCTGCCAACTTGTGATCTCTCTGTCAAATATATAAAATCTTTAAAAAAATTATTTTGTTGTGTTTTTATTTATTTTTACTTTGCTTTTCATTCCCTAAACGCTCCATCTAGAAATTATTTGTTTATTTTTATTCTTTAAGATTTTATTTATTTACTTGAGTGAGAGAGAGAGAGTGAGCCAGAGAGAGAGCATAAGGGGAAGGAGAGGGAGAAGCAGCCTCCCTGCTGAACAGGGAGCCCAATGTGGTGCTCAATCCCAGGACCCTGAGCTGAAGGCAGACTATTAACCAACTGAGCCACCCAGGCGCCCCCATCTGTTTATTTTTAAGTATTTCATTCTCAAGTAATTTCTACACCAACCCAACATGGGGCTCGAACTCACAACCCCGAGACCAAAGGTCATGTGCTCTTCTGACTGAGCTGGACTGGCACCCCTGGAAAGCATTTGATATCAGCTCATAGAGATCCCTCTCTCTGGGTGGGTATTCTGTAGTCTGTAAAGCAAATTCTTGGATACAGGTATTTAGCTTACGTCCAATATTTTGTAATTACCATCAACGCCATGATTAGTAATCTGCTATGTATGTTTTATTGGTGTAGGTATATATTCTGGCTAGATTCCCAGAAGCAGGATTGGTGGGTCAAAAAGTAAATGCACACGTACTTTTGTTAGACACGACCACATATTCCCCCACTCATACTTAACCATTTCGCGTTGCCCCCAGCCACCTGTACGAGCACTTGCTTCCCCAGGGCCTCCCAAACAGGGTGCTGTCCAGCTTTGCTCCTTCTGCCAATCGGACAGTGAGAGATGGACTCTTGGGACGTAGGTTTTATGATTATTGAGGGGTGGCCAAGAGATCAGGAGACCACTAACACCGGAAGGACGGGGTTACTGAGAGTTCCCAAGAGGAAGGGGAGGGGCAGATGTGCCGAAGGAGCCACACAGAGGAGTACCAGGGTCCGGGGGCAGAGGCGGTGAGTGGGAAATGTAGACAAGACCCTTTACTGCATGGGAAGCAAAGGCTAACAGGTTTAGGATGGGCTAGTATTTCACTGGGCTCCGGGGTAGAGGGTGGGACGGCCTGATTATCTGCTCCCCAGCCCAGGGTTGATTAGGGCAGGTGGAGAGTGGCCCCGAGTGTGGGAGCTTGCTACCCTGCCAGGCCTGCATTCTTCTACTGTCTGGGCCTTATCATTTTCTAGGCCTTTCTCACTGTTGGGAGAGACTTCAAAGCCCTCTTGCATGCTGTGAGTAGAGCACAGGTGTGGGATGCCTTTGGACTTTTTCAAGGCTGTTTGTATAGGGAAGGATCTTGAAAGGCAGGCACAGCGCTTCTCCAGAGCAAGGGGCGGCTTTCTTTATTGCCCAGTATAATAAAGGTAATGACGCCTTTGGCAGCAGAGGTCAGGCGGGGCTACTGTAAAAAATTCTGGTTTCCTGAGGTTGGAGATCCTTCTTTGCAAGCTGTTTCTATTATTATTAATATTTGTGTATATTACTTTGAAAAACAAGAAGAAAGACGTTTAATGGCTGAGGAAGGTATGGAGGTAGGCATTGCAGAAAGCAGCCTCTTGCAGCTTCTCCCCGCACCCCCAACACCTGTGTGCCATGGAGAAGACAGTGGGGGGCTCCCGGGACCCCCAGAAGACCCAGGGCTGTTGTGTCATCCCCTGGCCTGCACAGATTGGAGGCTGCAAGGCAGCGGGAGGCTGGAAGCACGCCCACGTTCTGTGCTCACCGATCCAGGGCCCAGGCCCGTGCCCCTCGGCTCCTCGCTCTGGGACATGCCTGCTCCTGGGAGATAAGACTGTGGCCCCACTAAGTAGCACTTGGCCCTTAGTAGGCCCTCATAAACATCTGTCAAATCAACGAGGAAAAATCCATGCTGGCTAGTAGGATTGGAGACCCAGCTAAAAATTCATTTTGGCTCTCTAAAAAAGGCCTGGGCACTGGGAAGGGAGGGCCGAGGGGGGCGGTGGGAGGAGGAGTCATTGTTACTTGGGAATGGGGGGGCCATAGACGATTAACTTCTCCCCGAGCCTCAGTTTCTTCATTTATACCATGGGCATCAATCATGGTTCCATCTGTTGTGCTTGTAGGGACAACTCAAGGATAGAATGTGCAAACATACTTTCCATACCTGTTGTCTATTGTCACCACTGGCTGGAGTCCTGGTGGCCCTAAGCCAATTCCCGCGAAGGCCTTGGGTACCCACCAGTGGACAGGAGGCCACAGGGGCCTTTGTTTGTCCAGGGACCTGTTTGTTTTCAACAACCCTTGACCTGCAGGCCCCACCTCCCCTCAGCTCTTTGGTTTTGTCTTCTTGGGGGAAAAGGGGCACTGTTGAGGCCGTATAGGTTTTTTCTTTGGTCTTGGAATCAGCAAGAAGCCTCGTGGAGAAAGAAGCTGACTTCATATGGGACAGACATGCGGGCTGCAGTGCTTGAACCCCAAGGGTGGAAGAGCGGAGTCATCAGGGGCGGGGGGTTGCAGGACATGGGGATTTGAATTTAGGGCGAAGGGAACAAGGGCCAATCCAAGAGTTTAGCT